GGAATCCACTGATTTCTGCAGATTTTGAGCCCACCGAGTCTATTTATTTCCTTGTGTAAATGTGTGCAAATTTATATTTATTCAGTTTTTAAATAATTTTCTGTAATATTATTGACTAATATGAAAATGTATACATGATTTATTTAGAATACAGTTTGTTTACAGTTTGTTAGAGTACAGTTTGTACAGTTTTAGTAGATACATAATATAAGAGACTTGCTTATATATTTAGATATATAACGTTTTTAGCTATGATACTCCCAAAATCATGCATAAATCCACAGATTTTTCAGATCTTTCTCCACAGAAATAGCAAAAATGTCAGCAGATTTTGTCCGGCCCTGACAATGACACATGTATAATCCTATAGTTGTACTCTATACTGGTGGTTACCACCATTTGTTAAAGCAGCAAAAGCGATTAACACCGAAACATGAACAAACAAGATTATCAAAACACAAAGAATTCATAATAAGAACCCAACTCAGGCTCATTCTAATAACATTTCTGGACAGAGCAAAATGCTTCCCAGGAGCTATGTTTATTGCAGTTTTTGTTTTCGCGAATTCACCAGAGGTCGCTGTGCATGCATCTCAAATTTCTCCTGCAAGTGCCATTAACACCTGCTTTTCTCATGTAAATCCAACAGACGCCGCTGTCGACTGACTGAATAACTAATCGACTGACCCACCCTTTTTCGTTCCTAAACCCAACCATTAGTGTTTTTAAAAGCAATCCAGAAAATAAAAAATCCCGAACCTGATTTTTACCACGTTTTTAAATTGTATTACATTCTTACTCTGTTATTGTTTATTTTATTTTTAAGCTGCTGTTTATGCTTACCTGCTTTCTGGAACCATTCTTCACCGTACTTGAATCTCGTTGTCGCGGTCAACTCCGCTCTGTGTCTCAAATCTGCCAACATACATGTCGAGCCATTGGACAAACTGGTAACAGCGGAAAAACCATTCATACTGGGGTAAGCGGTCAGCTGGTAAGCGTGAAAAGGAATGGCGTCATACCACCAAATAGCAATCATTTTAAAAGGGAAATGAAGCCATAGCTCTGGATACATAATTTACAATCATCAGAAATGTATGTAGGGCTACATGTTCAGAATGAGCCTATTTTGTAACAACCTTATATTTCTTTAATCAAATGAAAGAGACAGATGTACTCTCCCCTAAAATAATTCACTCGTTTGTAAGTAGTTTTTTTCTGAAATTGCAAATACAAATGGATCATTTAAGCATTGAAATGTTTCATCAAAAGTCTCAGAGGCTTCTGAAACTCCAGTGTAAAAGCACACATCAGTTAAAGCACTGAAGAAACTCTACAAATGTGAGACCTATCTTTTTAAACACTTGTCTCTCACATTGTTTCCACAAGAGATACAACCATTTCTGCCACAGGGCTAAAGTGGCACACGCTCAATTTTTTTGCAGTTCATTACGCAGGTTTAGTTTGTTCTGATCTGCTCTGTAGATATGTGTGTAAACAAAGGCTTTCATTCCCTGACAGTTCTGTAATTCGTCTAGACCTGCAAGTATAACACTATTGTTTAGACACCTGTTTATACCTGTTTTTCAACAAGTGTGTCAAAGGAGAATTATTTGGAGGATTCATCAGTAAATGCTCTGAATGGCCTCTATAAACTCCTGCAGCAATGACGTCATTGCCTTGGTAGACTTCCATACTGTCATGTTCTATGAAGATCTCTTGACGTGTCGTTTGTCAGAAAGTTAAATGGCGACGGGATGAAATGTTTTCGACACTGCTCCTTCGGGACATTGATGGCCACTGTATACTGCACACCAGTTGCATAACTAGATAGTAAAGGAAAATATCATTCAAATGAATGCAAAATAACAGAGGAATCAAACATGCATGCTGAGACTCTATTAGTGAAACATTTCATGTTATAATGCAAACATTTATTTATTTTCCTTCGGCTTAGTCTCAGATTTGTCAGAGGTCGCCACAGCTGAATGAACCGCTGCATATGTTTTACACAGCAAATGCCCTTCCAGCTGCAACCAAGTACTGGGAAACACCCATACACACTTACATGTGTTTGGACTGTAGGGGAAACTGGAGCACCCAGAGGAAACCTACGGGGAGAACATGCAAACTCCACATAAAAATGCCAACTGGCCCAGCCGGGACTCAAACCAACGACCTTCTTGTTGTGAGGTGACAGTGCTCACCACTGAGCCACTGTGCCACCAATAATGCAAATGTCTCATTAAAAACTATAACTACCAATTTTTTTCTTGCGATTAGAATTATCTCCATCAATTTTTGTACCACCTCAGTGCCCAGCTCTGGCCCACACAATCAGGTTTTGTTTGGCCCACATGCCACAGTGAATTACGGTACATGACTGGACCAAGTCTGGCTTCAAGACAAGGGCCAAACATGGACTATACAAGTCATAGCCAAGTTAGTAACTCCATAATGGGGCCGGAACGAGGCCAGATAAATTGGTGTGTCCCGATTGCAATGAAACTGATAAACCCATGAAGCATTGTGCTTTAGGCATGCTTTAACATGCTCAAAGCGACCTGATTGGTAGAATTTTTTTCTTTACTCAAAAAAATATTGTAATGTATTTTAAATGTGGGTCAAACTTACATGGTCCACATATCAATTCTTAACATATGGGCCAAATACAACATTTTACATCTGGCCCAAATCTTGTGTGCCGCCTTAAAGACAGTGCCATCTCTGCCAAACCCGAACCATGTTTTGGCCCACATGCTGTATGGCAGTGCCGAATGAATGCCTGCTGTGCCAGCTTTATGCCAAATCTGAGCCAGAATTTTTTGCTGCCTGGAAAGTGATGCTCACTTCCAGCCAGCCACATATCCAATATAGACTTTACCCTGCATATCAAAAATCTCTCAAAGTTAGGCTTTCAATCAAAACGTGAATAAATAATGGACGACTAATACCGGAGCCTAAGGACTTGCTTGAAGACTTCAAATACAACTAAAGGTAAGACCAGTGTGCCTTTACTGACAGCCGCGTGTGTGGGTCTTGTTGGAAAATATGGCGAAAAGTCCTAAATGATAATAATAATTTGGGTGCGTTGTTTACTTCAATAATGCCACTAATATCTGCAAACTCCACATGTCTTAATTCCATTTCTGTTTAGTTCAGTTATGACTTTAGTCGGATTAAGGTGATCAAAAATTGCTGTTTGGAGCTTATGCAGGCCTACAGTTCAACATTTATGTTTAACTGAATAAACAGTTTGTAAACACAAATACATCTTATTGAACATCATGTATTTTCATTAACCATTATCATAGTAGAACAGTTTCTCAAGCAGTTTGTGATGCATTTTGGAAACAGGAGATGAGCCCCTGGTCCAATGCGCCTTTTTTGAACACACAGACACACACACACACCTCTATGCAGAGGTTCAGAGTTGACAAAGATGAGATACAGTATTGCCTGTTTATGTGCATTCATTTTTGGATAAACACAGCTAAAGTACAGTTCTATAGCACTGTGCCCCATAAGCTATGGAAATCTAATGTATATGTAAAATTATAGGTAGGATATTTGACTATATGCAAATCTTTGTAATTTTATTGGTTGACAAAAAAATACGTAAACAGCTATTTTGAAAAAAGTATTAAACATATGATGTCATATACTGAATGTGATTTGCATACATTGCCATATATCAGATTTCTTTCATGATTTCAGTTATTTCACAGTTTACAGAAGTCAAAAATCTAAACCAAAAATCTGGCTTCATGAGGTGTGAAACACACTGTGTGAAATACAACATCTGAACTGTGTATTTGAGAATTGTATCAATTCTGATTGGCCAGAACGAAAGTGTGCTCACTCAATTGGCTAGTAAGACTATCACACACAGATGGCAGTCACGCATTTGCTCTAGGTGGGGGAAATTAGGTAATACATACAGTTAAAGGCTTTCCCAGAGATGGGTTGCGGCTTGAAGGACATCTGCTGTGTAAGAACTTGCTGGATAAGTTGGCGGTTCATTCCGCTGTGGCGATCCCGGATTAATAAAAGGATTAAGCCGACAAGCAAATGAATGAATGAACAGTTAAAGGCAGCATAATTAGCCCCCTTTTGAATTTATTTATTTATTTATTTTTCCCAAATGATGTTTAACAGAGCAAAGAAATTTCCTTAGTCTGTCTGATAATATTTTTTCTTCGGGAGAAAGTCTTATTTGTTTTATTTAGGTTCAAATAAAAGCAGTTTTAAATTTTTTAATAGCCATTTTAAGGTAAAAATTATTAGCCACTTTAAGCATTTTTTTTTCCAAATAGTCTACAGAACAAACCTTCAAAATACAATGACTTGCTTAATTACCTTAACCTGCCTAGTTAACCTAATTAACCTAGTTAAGCCTTTAAATGTCACTTTAGGCTGTATAGAAGTGTCTTGAAAAAATATCTACACTGTCATCATGGCAAAGATAAAATAAATCAGTTATTAGAGATAATTTATTAAAACTATCATGTTTAGAAATGTGCTGAAAAAAATCTGCTCTCTGTTAAACAGAAATTGGGGAAAAATAAACAGGGGGGCCAAAAATTCTGACTTCAACTGTATATATTTAATTCTGTATATACTGTATTTCCTTTTGCGATCAGCTAATCACAACGTTACCATGAATTTTGGCCCGTGGGCCCTAGTTTGATCAACTCCGAAAAAAGTATCAAACAGAAAATATGGTGAGTATAAGTTTATTTCTACAAGCAGCAAAAGCCATTAATATTGTTACCAAAATCATGAACAAACAAGCATTTTAAAAAAAGATGATCAAAATACACTGTGACCAGAATACATGATACACTCTCAGAAATAAAGGTATGTGAACTGTCACTGGAGTGGTACCTTTTCAAAAGATACAAATTTGTACCTAAAAGGTCCATATTAATATCTCAAGGTTACATATTAGCACCTAAAAAGTACAAAAGAGTTCCTTTTAAAATGTTTAGGTAGTAATATATACATTTGACTTACCAATATGTACCCTTTAAGTACAAATGTGTACCTTTTGAAAAGGTACCACCCCAGTGACAGCTTACGTACCTTTATTTATGAGAGCTCACATTTTTTTCATCAAATGAAAGAGACAGATGTACTCTGATCTGAAAGAATTGACTCATTATTAAGTTTGTTAAATGAAAAAGCAAAAGGCAGAGTATAAACTGATCATTTGAGCACTGAAATGTATCATCAGAAGTCTCAGCCGACTCTGAAACTCCAGTGCCAAAGCACAGATCAGTTAAAGCACTGAAGAAACTCAACAGGATGAACCTATCTTAAACATCTGCTTCTCACATGGTTTCCACAAGGCGTACAACTACGTCCACGACATTGGTAAAGTGGCACATGCTCAGCAATCTTTTTCAGTTTATTATGTAGGTTGTGGTAGTTCTGATCTTCTTTATGTGTATGTGTGTAAACAAAGGCTTTCATTCCCTGATAATTCTCTAATTCCTGAAGACCTGCAAGCATAACACTACTGTTAAGACATCCGTCTACACAGGGAGAGAACCGATAAGTGTAGAAAATCACACATCCATCACTCCTTTTATTCAGCAAGTGTGTCAAAGGAGATTTATTTGGAGGATTCATCAGTAAATGCTCATAAGGGGCATCTCTATGAACCACTGTAGCCGTGAGTTCAGTGCCTTGGTAGACTTCTTTATTGTCATGTTGAAAGTAAGGCCTAACATCGCTTGACATGTCTTTTGTCAGAAAGTTAAATGATGATGGGATGAAACCTCTTCGACACTGCTCCTTCGGGACATTGATGGCATATTGCACAGCACCTCCATAAGTGTATCTAGAAAGAAACGAATATCATTTAAATAAATGCAAAATAACAGAGGAATCAAACATGCATGCTGAGACTCTGTGTCAGTGAAACTTTTATGGTATAATGCAAAGTTCATCAAACATCTCAACAATTCAGTTACTCCTTTAAGCTGACAATCTCCATTAAATTTTGTAGCACCTCCACCTCTTTTTGTCTAAAATCAGACTGGCAGAACCCAAGTGATGCTCAACGCTTAATTACATTTAAAGTTAGCTTTTTTAAATATGATGATGTTTTACTTGTTAAGATTACAAGAATAATGCAAACTCCGAAACACATTCAGCTCTTAAGATTAAAATATCTCAGTGCAATAAAAGCATTAAAGTGGTTATTAGATGATATTTGATACATATATAATACTAATTTAACTCCTTACTTCCATGTGTAGGCATATTGCTGTTGTGGCTGGTGTCATTTTCTTAGCCCTTGGTTTCGAGTGTGGTCCTGAAAAATCTCTGTTTTTAAGGATTATCTAGCCTTTCCCCTTAGCACAGGGGTCGGCAACCCAAAATGTTGAAAGAGCCATATTGAACCAAAAAAAACAAAAAACAAATATGTTTGGAGCCGCAAAAAATGTAAAGCCTTATGATGAAGGAAACACATGCTGTATCTATAGTAGCTATATTAGCCTACTATAAAAATGACTAAGTTGGCTACAAATACATAATGAGCCTTCATGATTAAATAGCCACTGAAATCAGGTGGTTGGTGTTTATTTCGTTGTCATTTAAACACTTCAGCACAGCCTCTGGTCTTTCAGTGATATTAATTTGATCTTGCGGCCCATCAGAGTTCACATACCTGCATAAAAGCGCATTGAATTTCGGCCACATCACAGGCAATTGAGTATGCTGGCACTGAATTAATGTCCTTGGTTTGCTGATCGGTGATGTTACCTGCCATTTTAATAGCCCTTTCCTTCACTGTCTTAGCGGAGAGAGGTATATCTTTAATTTTTTGTATTATCTTGGTTTTGTTTTTGAAGTCTGCAATTACTGTAGGTGTTCTAATATGTTGATGAATGACTCCTTCATGTAGTCACCATCTGTGAACGGTTTTCCATGCTTTATTATCTCCCGGTTTGTTTACAACAGCCACCTGCCCGGCATCCCGCCCTGCTGATAGAAACCTGTGTCGCAGGCTATGACGCAAATCTTCGTTGACAGAAATGTTGAAATTAAATATTAATTCTACACACTTTTACAGCATTTGAAAACGTAAAAAATGTTTGTCCTCCTATAGAAATCATATTAAAACAAAAATATATACTAACCTTCCCCATCTTTTTGAACATTTTTGAAAAAACTTCAGGGAGCCACAAGGGCAGCGCTAAAGAGCCGCGGGTTGCTGACCCCTGCCCTAGCACTATGCCTTCAAGCTAAAGAGAATTGGGACACCCCTACCCCTTCCCGTGAATAAGAGGAAGGGCTAGGGCGTAGAATTGGAATTGGGCTGTAAATCAATGAAAGCACTGAAAGTTAAATAATGCAAATGGTAAAACTTTATTTTGATGGTCCATTTGAGTATTAGTAGACTGTCTGCTTAATATCTGCTGATACTGCTCCTTCAACAGACATTTAACTGACTATAGGAAACTTTGCAAGTACATGTCAACTTAGACTACAAACCCCAACTGAACAGTTTACTTATAATCTAAAGAAAACTAGTTGGCATGAAGATCCAATTTAACTTAAATTCAACAAACAGACCATCAAAATAAAGTTTGAGCCTGCATATAATGACAAATGCAAACATACAGTAGTTTTACTTCATTTTAAACATCAAGTGAAGTTTATGTATAAACAAATTTCGAGAGGATCACGTGCTTATGATTGTTCACAGCTGTTCCAACTTTAGCTAATGACTGATTATCCGATCAGATGATCCTTAACTCACTATAAATAACCAGACTTTTCTCATCTCAATATCTTTGTCTTGAAGAAACCCCCCTACCCAACCCTACTTTCCCTCTTTTCAAACGGGCGTCACGGTGGCCAGCGATTAGCGCTGTTGCCTCACAGCAAGAATGCCCCTGGTTTAATTCCTTTCCAAACCAGACGGCATTTCTGTGCGGAGTTTGCTCGTTCTCCCCGTGGTCGCGCGGGTTTTCCCCGGGTCCTCCGGTTTCCTCCCACAGTTCAAAAACAAGCACTCTAAACAATTAATCCAAAATACTTTAGCTAAACTCTGAGTACACCTTTCAGCATCCATATCTGACACTTAGCTACAACAAGCAAGAGGGGGAGTCATCGAGATCTACCTGAGCTCAAACTCCCCTCTCGCCTTGCAATGCAGGGCTCGAGGATCTTATAAGCTCAGGGCTCTCTCCCGGGACAGCACGCCAAACTAGCTTTATTATCAATCATCAGCTAAGTGTAAACACTTGAAACATACTTCAAATTTAAATGTACTCGAATCCTGGCGAGGGTGCTTATGTCCACCTCTTCATTCGACACACTTTGAATATCAGAAAGCAACACAATCCCAAGAAGGAGCCTTGAAAGCACAGCGAAGACCTATAAGGAGAAACATGAAGTTAGCAACAGTTTGTGCTACTGTATAAGCACAAGTGCAAAAACACAAAACTTTATACTTTATATTAAAAAAACTGGATGTTATTGTTTCTCTCTAAGCACAGCTACACTGTAAAAATAAAAAATATAAAGTTTCCATATTTTGTGATTCACAAGTGTTTTCTGTTTGTTTACGGTTGTGAATTGCAAATTCAACTCTACAGTTTATTAAAGTGACGCTTTAGTACTTTTAAATAATATAATATATAAAATAATATACAGTGGAAGTCAGAATTATTAGCCCCCCTTTGAATTCGTTTTCTTTTTTTATATTTTTTCAAATGTTTAATAGAGCAAGGAAATTTTCACAGTATGGCTGTCAATATTTTTTCTTCTGGAGAAAGTCTTATTTGTTTTTTTTCGGCAGGAATAAAAGCAATTTATTTTTTTACAAACATTTTAGGGTCAAATTTATTAACCCATTTAAGTTATATTTTTTTTCGATAGTCTACAGAACAAACCATCGTTATATAATAACTTGCCTAATTACTCTAGCCTGCCTAGTTAACCTAATTAACCTAGTAAAGCCTTTAAATGTCACTTTAAGCTGTATGGAAGTGTCTTGAAAAATATCTAGGCAAACATTATTTACTGTCATCATGGCAAAGATAAAATAAATCATATAAATCAAAAATATTTTGCTTTTTGCTTGAGAAAGTTCAATTATTTCCATATCGATAAACAAATGATGAATCTATTTTATCACGCCTTTCTTGAATCCGTTTTATCCTTTGCTCTGGTGTCATGGTTTGGAAATCTTTCTGTCAAGAATAAAAATTCACTAAATCAAATAGTTAAGTGGTCCAGTAAGCTGACCGGGGTGTCACTAGCCAATCAAGAAGCTGTGTACACTAGGCAGCTAAAGAGAATTACAAATTCAATTTTAAATGACACTGCTCATCCCCTACATTTAGAGTTTCAGCTCCCTCCCTCCGGTCGTAGGTTTCTAGTATTAAGCTGTAAAACGAAACGTTACAAAAATAGTTTTATACCAGCAGCCATTAGACATTTAAATAAGACTTAAGCAGAGATGTTTTAGTGACCTGTATATTTTAAATCATTTTAAATATTTACTTGGGGGAGGGGGGTGGACACTTAAAGTGATTAATTATTTATTCTTTATGTTTTATGTTTTATGTCCTAATGCGCATTTGTTGTTGTTACTGTGTGAGTTGCTTTGTGTGGCACTGTTGTAAGATGAGGACTCTTGACTGCAAATCAAATCTACCTTCGGGTATAAATAAAGTAACCTAACCTAACCTAACCTTATTAGAAATGACTTATTAAAACTATTATGTTTAGAAATGTGCTGAAAAAAAGAGTTTTTTTTTTTCAGAAATTTTTTGGGGGGGGTGAATAAACAGGTGGCTAATAATTCAGGGGCGCTAATGATTCTGACTTCAACTGGATATGTAGAGACGTAAGTCTGTAAAATAACAGAAAATGTACTAGAAGTTTATTACAAGGTTTTTGTAGTGTAATATACAAAACCCAACCCAGACAATATCACTTTAAACTAAATAAAATGTCAATAAAAGTCACTTAAAAAAAACTTTTCATGATTAAAAGTTGGTCAAAAGCTTAAAAAACAGGAAAATAATAAATTTTATATATATATATATATATATATATATATATATATATATATATATATATATATATATATACCAAAATATAGACGAAACAGCAAATTTACTGGTATTCTTTACAGTTATACAGACTCATCTTGGTCTATGCTAACTTTTTGATTTTTTCAGAGAGAATTATTTTGTCACATAAGGTTTTTACACGTGTTTATATCATTTTATTATACTATATTTGGCTACTAATTAGTAAGGAAGTGAGGCTTCAGTCTTCAGATTGATTAATAGGACTTGGTTATACCGCCATCTGTTGGATGAAGAATTTTTAATTAATTAATTTTTTGTTGTAGTTTTTGTAATTTGTAGGAAGACTCTAAGGCCCACGCTGTTAGACAAATACCACCCCCCTCCACTTAACTTTTCAGCCGTGACAACCACAACCCAAAACACTCCCCCACTCTACCGCCCTTTCACTTTTGGCTGTGACTATCCCAAACTCCCCCCAAGGCTCTTCACTTTAGGCCTCCCACTAGCGCCCCTGCCTCTGCTCTTCAATTCTGTCCTCGACACCATCACAAAGTTGTTATAGGGTTCGTACCAGTCAGCGATGCCCCTGATATCTTTTACATATAAAAAAAGTCATATAGACAGAATACAGTGGACAAACACGCAGAGATAAGTTCACAACCGGGCATCAAATTATTTTCTGTCAATCAAAATTTTTGCATTCAGCTAAACATTGTTTTGTTAATATTTAGTTTATTTATTTTTCATACTGTGTCATTTTTAATCATTCTGTGTTACATTTCAATCAAAACACTGTATAGGCACAGACATCTTTCTGTCAGAATCTGAGCATTCTCTGAAATCTTTAAGTAAGTACACTTTTTCAGGAGCTTTCTTTTGGTTATTAAAGTGCTGTTAGCACAAGATCAGTTTTCTTAATGTGAGCACTAATGCTACTTTAGGTATTAAATAATGATGCTTACCATAGTTTCTGTTGTTGAAAATGAGAAGGTTCAGAGCTGCTGTGTGAGTCTGCTGTAAGGAAAGAGAGATGAGAAAGAGAAAGTATAGAGGGTATTTATTCTGAATGTTGACCAGCCCACTTATTCATGTACACAGCAGCTGAAATGGTTCATACTTAAATTGGATTACAAGTCCAACTCTTTAACCATTAGGCTGCCCCTCATATGAACAACAAATTATTTGATTGATTGATTGATTGATTGATTGATTGATTGATTGATTGGTTGATTGATTGATTGGCACAGTGGTTAGCACTGTCTCCTCACAGCAAGAAGGCCAGTTGGCATTTCTGTGTGGAGTTTACGAATTTCTCCTGGTCCAGCCGGGACTTGCTGTGAGACAATAGTGCCAACCACTGAGCCAGTATGCCGCCCCTACTATAAACTGAAATATAATTACAGACATGTTGCTGTGGTTCTTGAGCAGAAAGCATTTGCGTCAAATCACAGTGTTTTGCAAGAGCTTGTGTTCTGTTGTGTGAGATTTGGTCTGGAGGTTTTTATTATCTCTCACTTTAAGAGAAAATGCACAGACAGTATCAATAATATATCAGGCTCGTAGCCAGCCTATTGAAAGGACTGGTTCTTTTTTCTGAAAAAGTAGACCTTGTTTTGTAGTTATTCACCTCGTTTTCTATTCAATTATGCATTTTAGTGACATTTTAAGAACTGATATTTGCTGGGTCAGCTTGTTGGATGGTGATCATAACCACACTTTTTTGATGCACAAAATAATATTGCTCACCAAACTATTTTACTATGAAGTATTTACTTACAAACTTGGATTTAAACTGTGTGTAAATGCAGTTTTATAAATATTGTCATGAGATTAGCATTCAAAAAAACAAATAAAGAAATTTTATACTTATTTTTAAATATTCAATTTAATTTGTATTTATTTCTACAGCACTTTTACAATGTAGATTGTGTCAAAGCAGCTTTACATAGAAGATTATAGTGAATTGAAACAGTACAAATTTATTATCATCTATCATTTCTATTAAAAAAAAAAAAAGGAATCGGGTGAACCTTGTTTTAAAACAAAAACTGCAGCCTATGGGCAAATAAAATATGTCCAGCTCATTAAACTTTCCTCAGTCAGAATTTGGTCACTTAATTCAAATAAATGTGTCTTAAAGCCTTCTTCTATCTATAAGTTTCACAATTTATAATGGCATAGCAGTCAAATATGGAATAAATGAGTTTATAAAGGGTCAAATTCTGGACTTTGTCAGTGGGGGTGGGTCTTTAGAACTTTCGACCTAGGTTACTTGCCTGCAATTTCAAGTACCCAAAACCCACCATGTGTTCACATATTTTAGATTTTCATCCTTTCAGAAAAAAATATAAATAAACTTGTCAGGCATGTACTGTGATTCTTTGCATGTTTTGCCCTCTGGGTCTCTTTCAGTCATGTGACTGAATCTACAGAAAAATAGACAGAGTTGATTTTGGTTTTATTGTAAAACAAAACAAAACAAAACAAGAAAACATGTTAAAAGAGAATCTGAAATATAATATAGCATACTTAAAAAAAAATGTTATAAAAGTTTTATAATGAATATATATTTTTTTTATTAAATTAGTCTTACACTTCATATTTTCAGATTTTTCATAGTATATGTATTAATCCCAGTACTTTTTCTGTAAACCATCATATCTACCATTTCGTAGAGGTTGATATTTTAGAAATTATGAGATGGTTTGAAAAAAATGCATTGAGTGTTAACTAGCAATATTAGGAGTTAAGAAATGCAATCCAAACATTTTAATTTTTTTGGTGGGGTAGTTAAAGGTATAAAATAATTTTTACTTATCTTATGTACCCTGTGTGTCTTGTGTTTAATATTTATGGCTTTAACCTTAGAATGCATGGAAGCACTGATAAAGAAAAGGGTTTTTGACTAGTATACTAGCAGTAACTTTAACATCTGTTTCCCATTATTAAGCCAATGTGGAAAACAAGCTTTTCCGATAAATGAAGTAATCACATATTTGTGAAGGGCGAGCCTTAGACAGCAACTCATACCCTCACAATATCCTATAAAAGGTTCATGTCTACATGTTCTCCATTCCTCAATCCTTTTGAGAATTTTTTTCTACCAGGGGATGGCATGTGTAACTGTATTCAGTAAATCCTTCTGTTGATGGTATATGTAGACCACGTTATGTACAACTTTGTCTTGGTCGGAATGAACACAGTGTACACTGTTTTTGTGGGAAAAATGAAGTAAAATATATTTCGTTAAGTGTATTTGTGTGTTTTGTTTAAAAACAATAGTCTGAAATGTTTTATAATGCACTTATGTAGACCTCTACTGTCTGTAGTAGTGTAACGCTGAACAAAGGCTTACAGAAAGTCATTAAGATGAATGGAGAAGAAGTGATAGTCGTTTATATTAAGCACATCAGTGATCAACTGTTCTTATAATTTTTTATTCATGTGATGTTTGTGTGCGTCACTTGAAAACAAACTACCATTTTGAGAAGAAATCACATTGATTTGAATGTAAAGTTTCATTTTGCAGGAGATTTTGTGTGTGCTTTTTTTTTATTTGTGTGTAGAGTTCTGACAATATGAGGTATGCTTTTAGAAAATGTGTGTAAACAATTGGGAAAACCTGTAAATGAGGTCAGGCAACTAAGAACTTAGTTCAGTCAATAGGTTTTAGTGTTTTAGCAACTGAGAAGAACTATAATGCACACAGTTTGCGTCATGGCAGCACCACAACCTCACATGGGCATTTTTTTCTAATCACCCAATCTACCATCCATTCCTTACCTCTTTCATTCGTCTGATCTTTAGAAGGGAGAGCTTGGAGCTTTGAACCACATAGGAAAAGCAGAATTGAATACAAAGTCACTTGATTATTCCATCTCCCCACAGGCATTTTTATAGGTTTCAAGAGTTCACACTTAGCTGATGATTGGTAATAAGCTAGTTTGGCATGCTGTCCCGGGAGAGAGCCCCGAGCTCAAAAGATCCTCGAGCCCGGAGCTCCCTTCCGTTGCAGGGCGAGAGGGGAGTTTGACTCGGGTAGATCTCGAGGTTTGGTTTAGTCAATTTACTTAGTTTCATGTTTTTGGGGGTGTGGGAGGAAACCGGAGGACCCGGGGAAAACCTACGCAAGTACGGGGAGAACATGAACTCCGCACGAAAATGCTGACCGGTTGGGTGGATACCCGAGTCGGAGGCATTTTTTGCTGTGAGGCCGCAGTGCTAGCCACTGGGCCGCCGTGCTGCCCTGTAGAAAAGAGGAGGAGAAGGGGTGGAAGGGGGGATTCTTCAAAACGAAAATGACTAAAGGTAAGGTGTTTGGTTATTTATACTGGGTTAGGAATAGCCTGATTGGTGATTCATTCATTAGCTTGACTCGGGGCCAGCCGTGTCAATCATAAGCACGTGATCCTCTCGAAATTAGTTTATGAATAAACTTCACTAAATAAAAAATGGTCAAACAAAAAAATTTGATGAGTAGAAATTTATTTTTCAAAGCAGCAAAATCCATTATTATATTTTAACTCAAGCATGAACAAACAAGCAGTTTGGACCACAAAATCCATTGTGATAAGAACTCATGAAAATAATCACTCATTAAAACAGTCAAATCTTTAATTAAATAAAAGGTATACCTTTATTCTCCCCTAAAAAAAATCACTCATTGTACGAACTGTTTTTTTTTTTTTTTTTTTAAAGCAAAAGACAGAAAGTGAACCGATCTATTTGAGCAATGAAATGTATTATCAAAAGACAGAGCTACAGATATACGATACAGTAGCTCATCAGTTAAAGCATTGCTAACAAGAAACTCAATACAGTGACCAAATGAGTTTTTAAACATTCATTTAACTTACTAAACATTCATCGATCACATCATCTTCACAAAAGACACAACATTCTAGGTTGCAGTTGTACAGTGGCACATGATCAGCAATCTTTTTCAGTTCATTACGTGGGGCAGTTTTTTCCTTGTCTCTGTCATAAATATGTGTGTAAACAAAGGCTTTCATTCCCTGGTATTTCTTTAACTCTTCCAGACCTGCAAGAATAACTTCACTTTGAAGACACTTGTCAACACAGGGAGAGAGTAAAGTGTAGAAAACCACACATCCATCTTTTCGTTTATTCAACAAGTGTGTCAAAGGAGAATTATTTAGAGGATTCATCAGTAAATGCTCTGAATGTGCTTTTTTATGTCCTGCAGCAATGAGTTCAGTGCCTCGGTAGACTTGCCCTCTTTGTAAGTAACGTTTAACATTTTTCAGCTTGTCGTTTGTCAGAAAAGGTTTTTCTGATGGGATGAAACCTCTTTGACACTGCTCCTTCGGGACATTGATGGCTACTGCATACTGGCCATTTTCATAACTGGATATAAAAGAATACCATTAACATACGCAAAATGACTATAACAGTGAATATTTTAACAGTAGCAAACTTCATAAAACAGCTATTTACAGTTTTTTACAATTGTTTACACTCTAAAATAAAAATTTCCACACAATTTGCAAAATTCTACTCCGAGGAGCGAAACACAGGCCATGTCCACACTAGTGTGTTTTCATTTGAAAACGCATATTTTTGTCTCCGTTTTGCCCTTCCATCCACACTGAGACGTGTTTTTAGGAAACAAAAACGTATCTTTTTGAAAACGCTCTCCAAAGTGGATAAATTTGAAAACGACTTTTTCGTGTCGTAGTGTAGACTGTGAAAACGGAGTCTTTCGAAAACGATGACGCGTTTTTTGTCATGTGACACTCAGTCATGTTACTAATTCGTTTACTTTATTTTCGTTGTGATTATGATTTTAGTGATGTCGTCCTTACTGTGAGGGTAAGCAGCGTCATCAGCAGGATACTGTTCTTTAAAGCGGTCCAGTATATCGGCGTATTTGTTTTGGCACGTCTCCCAGTCTACATTTCCACTCTCTTTTGCAACTTTGTATTCATGTGTTACTCGAAGCAGCAACTCTACTTCATTGTCAGTCCATTTAAAAAACTCTGTGCTTTTCCTTGACATTTTGCCGCAACGTTTCAAAGAGCCGGAAAGAAAATAAACGTCAGCCGGAAATGACGCGTGACGA